AAAACTGCTACTTTGCATAAATCAAACAGTTTAATCAAATATTTCAAACTATGCTTCTCCGAAAGTGCCTTCATTGGTTAGATCAAGGAAACAAAGAAAGGGAAAAAGGGGAGGAAGGAAGGAAGGAAGGAAGGAAGGAAGGCAGGCAGGAAGGGAGAAAGAAAGAAAGAAAGAAAGAAAGAAAGAAAGAAAGAAAGAAAGAAAGAAAGAAAGAAAGANGAGAGAGACCATCCGTTTACATCGCTCCGTTTTGCCTAGAAGCAAGGTAGGATTAAAAACACCTATTTAACACAAGGAAGAATTCCTCACCTGTTCAGAGACTGGGAAGACCAAATTCAAGGGAAGCAAGATGAGAAAAGAGCAAGAGCTGGGAAAAAGACAGAACTAACGGCCGGTCTCTCGGTCAAGAATTGAAGGAGGTCGCCTGTTAAACAGGGCGAGCGTGCAGCCTGCGACTACTGGTCCCTTCTGCGCTTCTCCAAACAACTTCCTCTTTTAAGTAGAAGGAAATGAGGTTTTGAAATTCCCCAGAAGAGACACGATGAGTGTTGAGGTACAGCAACTGGTTGATGCAAGGAAGTGAGGAACGGTAGCCTGGACATTTCCTATTTCCCACACTCCTGGTTCTCATCATGAGATCGAGCAAGGGAGGTGGAATTTTGGGGGGGCTGCCAGAGGAGGGAGAACGCTCCCGGTTTTTCTCCTCTACGTGTATAGCTCTACAACCTCGAAAGCTTAAGACATTCATTCATGCAGCCTCCTCGTGGGAAAGAGAAGCAAGCACCTTTCCGTCATAAATGTGAAAGACTGTGGGGTTCCTTGGTGCTTTCTGAGCCTGGTGTTGTTGCAGACCTTTCGTTGCCAAACTAGGGAACATCATCAGTGTCGTGACCTCACTTAGTTTGGTAAACGTCGGCACCCACCTCAGGAAGCACCAAGGAGCCCACAGTTTAACCCCGAGCTGAAAACATTCTCTTCCAACCCAAACGTGTTTTTTTCAGGAGGCCATTGGACTTCCTTATTTTTTTCCTTTTGAAGAGGTTTTGCTTCTCATCCAAGAAGCTTATTTGGCTCTGACAGGATGGTGGGGAATGGGAAGGACTGATATTTCTTGCAGACAGCTGGTCATTTGCATCCGTTTAGAGCAATGTTTCTCAACCTTGGTGACTTTAAGTCCTGTGGNAGTAGCCTGCAGTGCTGCATTTAACCACTGCGCCACCTTTATCTATATGGTTACATAATCAAAATTCAAATGCTTGGCAACTGGCATGTACCTATGACTGCTTTTCAGACTTACGACCGTCCCCATGGTCTTGTGATCAAAATTCAGACGCTTGGTATAACTGACTCATATTTATGACGGTCACAGCATCCTGGGGTCACGTGATCCCCTTCTGGGACCTTCCGACACACAACATCAATGGGGGAGCCAGATTCACTTAACAACCATGTGACTAACTTAACAACTGCAGTGATTCACTTAAGGATGACTGCAAGAAATTCATACGATGGGGCAAAATCCATTCCACGGCTGTCTCGCTTAGTCACGGAAATTTTGGGCTGAACTGGGGGTCGTAAGTCAAGACTACCTGTAGATGATTGCCATGTAGGGGAGAGGAGGAATCATCGTCCTCGGCCAGTGCTTACTAGTTAAGCACATGCTTTATTATCAGAACAATTTCTTCCCACTTTTTTCACAATTTCCAACTGAAGGCAAATTGGAAAAAAAGAAAAAAAAAGAGTTTGGAAATTAATGACTAGCCCGATGCCCCAATAACCTGACTCAACGGTTCCCTCGGCGGATTGGGACATATCCGTACTTCACAAGAGAACATCTGAAGGGCAGGAGGAAGTCTGAAATTCAACTACTGGCACTTCTGGGCTGAAAAAAAGATCTCAAGAGCATCTCAGGAAGAAGGAGTAATCAATCAGCAGGAAAAAAAATGTACTGAACCAAGTGGAATGGATAGGCTGGGTCAGGAGGAGACGCAGCCTGGAATTAAGGGGAAATTTCCAGACAGTGAGAATGATGAGTCGATGGGAGAACTTTTCTTCAGAAGTTGTGAGTGTTTCACCACTAGACATTTTCAAGAAAAGATGGCACAACCATTTGTCTGGGATGAAATAAGGGACTCCAGCCTTGGGCAAGGGATTGGACGAGAAGACCTCCAAGGCCCCTTCTGTGGTTCCGTGTATGTTCTCTATGTCCTTCCTTCCTTTATCCAGCAAGGATAAAGATCCCGAATTTTGTTTTTCAAAAGATCTCTGGCTCTAATATCTAATATTAGAGAAGGGGAAACCATAGGCCACCCATGACTTATGTCCTCAACTGAGCCCAAAATTTCTGTCGCTAAGCCAGACATTTGTTGAGTGTCTTTTGCCCCATTTACGACCTTTCTTGCCACACTTGTTAGTGAATCACTGCAAATTGTTAAGTCAGTGACACAGTTGTTAGGTGACGCTGGTATCCCTGGGTTGATTTGACTTGTCAGAAGGTCACCAAAGGATGCTCCCACAACCCCAGGGCACTTCATGGTCATAAATGAGACTGTCTGAATTTTAATCACACGATCGTGAGAATGCTACACACTTATTAAGTGTGAAAAAAGGTCAGGTCGCTTTTTAGTGCTGTTGTAACTTTGAATGGTTGCTAAATGAACCACCTGTATTTAGGGAAGGGGAACTAGCCTCCTTATGCAATTTATCCACATCAGAGTTTTGTATACCTCCATCCTGCCCCCTCTCCTTCACCTCCTTTAAAGACTACAAAGCCCTTAACATTGCAACCTTTCCTCACAAGGAAGCCCCTTTGACACTTCTCAGTTGCCCCTTCTCCGAATCTTCCCTAGCTCTGCTGTTGTGTATCCTTTTTGAGATATGGCAAGTAGAGTTGTAAACGCAGCCGCCTCACAGGGCTGTTATTGTGGGAACAAGGAGGAAGAAGAGGGGTTGGGATATGCTGGCCGCCTTGAATGATTTGTAAAAACATACAGAAGCCGGGATGCACACAAACAAATATGGCTATAGCTTAAAGAAACAAAATTTGAGATAAATTAACGCCGGAATAATTAGCGGCATTTTGAAAAATGCAAGAAAAACCAGGTGCCCAAAGACAGAGAGCTGCCCCCTTGGCATCAGGAGCCGAGGTGGCGCAGTGGTTAAATGCAGCACTGCAGGCTACTTCAGCTGACTGCAGTTCAGCAATTCGGCTGTTCAAATCCCACTAG